AGATAAGGATAACTAGGAAGAGGGAGAACGGCAAAAAGAGGTGGAAAAGAGCGAGAGAATCTTGAGACGACAAGTGATATAACAGTGGAACGGGAAAAAGATGGAGAAATAAGAGAACGGAAACGAATTACGAGGTAGATAAAAAGCTGAGATGGGAGTAGCTACTGGAGAATTGATAGAGAGTCTGAGGAAGCGGAGAGAAGAGAGGAGATAGGGAGAGGTAATATGGCATGTCGCACATGAACCTTAAAAAAATTGAATTTTATTAACCCGCTCCTTCCCGTTTCTTCTCATTTACTTTTAGATCTTTATCTTCATTTGCGTTCTTACTACTATTTCTCTCTCATCGTCTTCCGTCTATTTTATTGCACTCTAACTCACTCTTACCGCTCACTACTTATACTCACTGGCTACTACTACTAACTACTACTACTCACTACTACTACTACTACTATCTATACTACTACTACTACTACTACTGACTACTACTACTACTACTCCGTTACCTACTACTACTACTACTACTACGACGGGACGACTATACTACTACTTACTACGACTATTGCTACTACTACTACTACTACTACCTTTTAGTTCTTCTCCTCCTGTCTATCTCTCTCTATTTTTCTATCTTCCAATCAATATTGACTAACTGGCTGATTTCTTTCTAAGACTTTGCTCTGCAGCCGTTTTCATGCTGTGACCGTTCTCATTTTCCTGCCCCCGCATCCCTCGATCTCGGTGACCTTACTCTCATCTTCATCCTCGCACTCGCTCTATAATTTATAACATATCCTTAACTATTTTATATATAATCATTATATTTACTGAAACATGATAATAACTACGCTTCCACAACAAACGATACAGGCCGTGTAGACTAAAAACAGCAAATGTTCAACCGTGTATCTTATATAGAAGAACTTAAGGGACTTTTATCAACTTAGTTTACTTTAACACCGTAAGCTTTCGAGAACATACAAGATCCTTCTTCCATCGGTCAGCAGACATTATCGGATTATTAGACTCAAATACCTTCATAAAACAATACAAAACTTGAGCGTCTTATACCCGGCAACTTGACGCTTTTTATCATATCGTGCGGCGACGATCCCTAACTAACGTTCGTACACATAACGGAGAGCCTTAAAACGTATCTTTCGCGTCAGCCGAGAACGCCCCGTACGGGCATATCATGAGACCATATGCTAGCCTTTGCGACGCTTTATGCGCACAGCTACTTAATGCATAGGCGTCATCGCACTTGTAATGCAGTTGTCAAAAATTTAGAGGCCTTGAATGATTATAACTTTTAACCGTACTCTAAACGCCGCCAGCTCGTAGCTATGGCTATGGCCCGTAAGCATAACGTCCCGCACGTTCTTAACCGGAATTTAATGTTAGCCAACCCCGCCTGGGGTCTGAATAACCATGGTCTAGGGCGAATTTGCGGAGAGAAGGACCGGATTGCCGGAGGCAAGGAGCAGGCACTATCATTCATAAGAGCAGGTTTCGACACGGGATTCAACCTGCAGCGCCTGAGACGGAGGAGCGGAGCGACCAGTCGGAGCGTACCTCTAAACTTCACCCCGGAAAAACCCCGATACTCCCGGGCTACGGCCGCGAGGCGTAGTTGATCCTCCTAACAGCAACCGAGCGTCGCGGCCAGCACACACAGCATTTGTGGCCGTAGAGGCGTACAGGCCTGTGCCCCGCCTCCGCCACGTCTGTACGGGTCTCGCTACCTTTGTGCAGCACCGGTCGCCGTACAAGGGTCACTAACCTCAATGCACACATTTGCGCAGAGCATTCTACGAGTACTGCGATGGCTATACCAGTGTGCACGACTGTCCTGCTGACTGAAAGGTGCAGGCTCGCATTCGCATAGAGTATAGGCACAGGTAAGGAACGTCACGTATTGACCATATAATCTCCTATATATTATACTAGGCTGGCGGGTAGCCCGCTGCGCTGGTAAAAAAGACCTCGCTGCTACTAAATATCACATTACAGTACTAATAATAATGGGAGCACGACGCATAGGAATCATTGGGTAATGGGGAAATCGACATAAACATTACAGACAATAATAGATATTGTAGGAAGGAGTGTAATAAGATAACAAGCATGGGACAAACGAAAAAACTGTTACCTATGGACATTTTTAGTGGTGGTATAAGTGATCATTGTTCGACCACACGACGCGGTGAAGGGAGCTTACGATATTGTACCCCCTGCGAGCGTTAATAGTAATTATGTTGTACAAGAATGCACGAAGTTTTTTTCATAAGAGCATGGGTAGGAATGGGTTGGACATTTTTCAGTTATTTGAAAGCCTTTCTTTGATCAAAAAGTAATATTTTTGCCACAGTCGTACTCCGGCATCTGTGATTGGCAGAATATTGTTAACGAGATTCCTGGCGTCTCAACTCCGTTGAGCTGAGCTTTTTTCCACGTTAGCAACACACACACGCACACGCAGAGCACGACACAGCACGCGCAGCACACGGCACGCACAGCACAGCAGCACACACAGTTCGCACACTAAGCACACACACGACGGAAACACTAATGGACCACAATCTTACTCTTTCACTCCTATCACCCTTTCTGCTGATCCTCTCACTTGCTTACCAACTGGGTCACACCATGTCTCGGTTTCACCCAGCTTTCCACCTGCACCCTTTCTGCCTCTCACTTACATGCCTGCGCTGTGTTTGAGTGTTATGGCCTGCGTTGTCGGCATCCATGTGCATGTGCATGCATGTGGGCATGTGCATGCTATGTGCATGATGGCATGTATTTGTGTGTTGTTGTGATGGGGAAGGGGGGAGGGCGCGTATAAAGGCTGCTAGGGCTGTACGAGGCATGATCGTGTTGGGGTTTGTTGACTGCCAACGGGTCTACCGTTCTTACTGCCGCTTAAGCACGGCATCCAGGGCGATGATGAATGTTAGCAGTTCTTTCAATGGTGACTATGAAATCCTGTCAGGACAACCTGTCAGGAGCAACATGACAACCTGTTCGGGGATTGTCTATCCGATTCAGAAGCACCGTACAGGATACATTTGGTGCTAGTATTTTGTCACGTGGTTTGTGACCGCGTGTGATTGGGTGGTAAGAGGAGTTGGCGGAAGGGGAAGTCACTGGTGGAGAAGAGGAGGGAGAAGCTGGTGAGGAGGTGTGTGGATGAAGGAGGCGCGTGGTGGGAGGAAGGTGGGTCAGGGAAGGTATTGCACGGCACGTTGGATGGCCCTTCTCCTGGCCACCACCTTCTGCCGCTATCTCCACCACCTTGCCACCAACCACCTTCTCCACCACCTCCCTCCTTCTCCAGCGCAGCTTCTTCCCTTCTTCATTCTCCACCAGCTTCTCCCGCGCTCGCTCCTTCTCCCACAGCTTCTCCCCTCGGCTCCTTCTCCACCACCGTTTGCGCCTGCTCCCCTTCTCCTTCTCCACAGCTCTCCCTCCTCCTTCACTATCTATGCTCACAGCTGGCAAGTGACGTCACGAACCACGCGATTACATCTGATTGTTAAACACAAACAACCACGTGATATAAAACTATGCAAATTTTTCCTGTAGCCGGCGCTTAATGTATCTTGTACTCTGGGTCCTCTCCTTGTATTTCACAAGCACCAGATTCTCTATGGAATGTGCAGGGAAATCCTGTAGATAAAGGAAATTCTGTCTAGCAAGTTAGCATTAAATTAATTACTTTCTACTAATTCGATAGTGCCGTTTTAACATATTCTAGTGCGGGTTTTAGTAATTTTGGGTCATCAACTTCTCTCTCCACATCTTCTACCGGTGTCTCTCTCTTATTAACGCTCTATTAGGTTATCTTTAAGCACGAGTATAAATGTTCCAAAGGTTTTCTTTCATTAGGGATCACAAATGCACGAGGCTATGCGTAGTCGTGAGGGATTTTATTCTTGTGTCTCGAGAAGTGAGAGGCTTGGGTTTAATGAGAGTGGTCAAGTGCGAGTGCCACGTCTTATCACCTAAACACAAGGCAATGCATCATCAAATGACAGTGATTTGTCATATATGGCTTTAAATGACACTCTCAGGAGCTGTCGATGGCATTATGAGGCATGTCTTCGAGCTATATCTTAGTTGTGTTTCACTCACGCGCGGAGTTACGTCAATCTC